AGGAAGAGGGGGAGACGCGCAGGACTGGGGCTCCAGAGTGCAGGAAGAGTGTCTCTGAGCTGATCTAGCTGCCTGCGTCCGGGCGTTATCATTAACAACAATGGAGTCATCAGGCATCGCGCCATGACAGACACACACAGCCAGTAAGTACCCGTTTCATGCGAACTTCCATTAGAACAGAGACGCGCGTTCAAGAGGGCCGACCTGAGATCTCCTGAGAGAGAACAGGGCGACAGAGCCACGGCCGGTCTCGGGGGACTATATTCTACCTTTTACCTGATCATCGATTCACTTTATTCCTTTTATCCCGATTTCAATCAAGTTTTACTTAAGAACACCCATCAGAAAAAGTCAAGACTTTCAGTAACAAAATCAAACGGAACTTTAATTATGCGCAACCCAGGAGGAAAGCGGACTCGGTGCCGACCGGGCTCGGGGTTTGGGGTTCGGGCACCTTGATCTCGCGGACGAGCCGGACACGAGCCCCGTTAGTGTAACACTGCTAATCGCACGGTTCTGGCGGAGTTATGAAATAACCGCATTCAGGGGAAAAACAGCGATTTACGCCCGAAAGTAGATTAATAAAGAAGTTTCCTCTTGCGTTCGTTTTGCAAACTCGTCTCCTTTGTGTTTTTTGTTTTGCTAAAAAGGTCTGTTGGACACCGACGAGAGACGCCAGCGCACCTCGCATCGCGCCCCGCTACACCGGCTGTCGGCGCATAGGTGGCACCCATCTCCAGGCCTGCCCCTCGGGGTGCGGGGTGTATACGGCTGGCGCGCTCGCCCGTCCTGAGAGCTCTGCCACGGCAACCGCAAATGAGCGGACCGGCGAACCGCGAAGCTCCAGGCTGGACCTGCAGCCCAGCCGCGGCCCGGTCGCTTCAGACTGGGTTACAGACAGGGTCGGCGCCTCTCTTCTCGTCGGACATGACCGCGAGTCGAGCTGATTGCAGCAGCTCCTCAGAGAGGTGCTCAGGCCATCAGGACCGGGGCTGTCACCAGTCAGCAGGAAGAGAATTCCGGGCGTGCGCGCAGTACCCCGAACTCAAGCACAGTAGTACCCCAACCGTCAGAAGACAGTACCCCGAACTCCAGCACAGTAGTACCAAAACTCCAGCAGACAGTACCCCGAACTCCAGCACAGTAGGAATAATAAGACCGAACAGGAGACCCCGAGAATATCAGGAAAGGAAAACATAAAGCGTTAATTAATTAAACATAAACTAACTAGAAGCCTTTAACAGCGCACGCTGTCCCTCTCGTGGGCACCTGCGGCTGCGCGCCCGCAGCCCTGGGGGAACCGCTTACCTCCGCCTGGCCGCGCGAGTCCAGTACCTGCCGGGTCCACTGGGCTGCAAAGCCCCTCTGTCCAGCCACCGCCGTGACGTCAGCCGCCAGGCCCCGCCCTCGGCCCCGGCGCGCGGCCGGCTGGGGGAGAGAGAGGCGTGTCCACAGGGAGGGGCAGTTCGCTCGAGACGGCGCCCGGGCTCGAACCCGCAACCCGAGGCTCCACCTGCCGTGACACACAGAGAGGGCAACAACACCAGACACCGACGCGCCAGCGTACCAAAACAATTACGCAATGTGAACGTGTAAATCCACACTTTTCTACCTTTCCATTTCCCTCTCACCTGTTCGGCTCCCACCCGGGCTGGGTTCCAGTGTGAAACGTGCAGTATGAAACCTGGGCTTCACCCCGCTGAAGGCCTGTCCGGGCGCCTCGAGAGTCAGGTCACAGTTTTCACTCATCGCTCAGCGGGTTCGAGTCAAGCAGCACAACCCACCGACAGCGATGAATGTGGATTGGGACCGCGGTGATGCCCTGCCACCTTTCTGCCACCAGGGGGCACTGTGTGGCAACACCTGCTGTACGTCGGACATCTTGGCTCAAGCAACTGCATGCACTGTGCTCTGGCTCGGCTGAGCCAAAATGGCGGTAGACCGACTCCTCCTCCCCCCCCCCAAGTGAAATTGTTGTTATTAATAAGGGTGCATCTGTGTACTCAATCTACCTAGAGTTTCGGGGATTCGCTCCAGAAACGGTGTGAGTGCAGAGCTGTCATCTCGCGCTCCCGCCCATCCCTCTGTCTCGGGGCGGATGTAGCTCCTGTGCGTCACTCTGGTGGTAGGGCAACGTCAGGGAGATCACCAGCTAGCTCTTCTCCAGCCTCAGGCCACCCCTGCACGATGACGCGGGTTCGAGGCACAGGGTACACTCAACGGCCAGTGGTTTCCCTTGGACACAAACTCACCGACAGCGTTGAATGTTTCCTGGGAATCGGGAACGAGCTTGTACACACACATTGCCACATGTTCACTCACACACACACACCCCAGGACTGTCCTGTCTTCCGATCAGAGCAGACACACAGCACACAGCGCCCCCTTCTGACAGGACGGAGGAGGAGAGGGAGAGAGGGGGAGTGTGAGAGGAAGTGAGAGTGAGTGTGAGGGAGAGTGAGTGAAATGATTGTGAAAGTGAAATGAGGATGAGTGTGAGGTAGAGGGAGAATGAGGGACAGCGAGAGGGAGGGAGTGAGAGTGTGAGGGAGAGTGAGTGAAATGATTGTGAAAGTGAAATGAGAGTGAGTGGCACGAAAGATTGTTTTATAAACTACTCCAAAGTGGCAAAGGGGACAAAGTGTACAACATAATTAAATCAATGTATTCAGAGAGCAAATGTGCAGTGAAAATTGGAAACAAAAGGACCAAATTCTTCACCCAAGGACGTGGGGTGAGACAGGGCTACAGCCTGAGCCCAACACTGTTCAATATCTATATCAACGAATTAGCAGGTATGTTGGAGCAGTCTGCGGCTCCTGGTCTTACACTACACGACACAGAAATCAAGTTCCTGCTCTACGCAGATGACCTGGTCCTGCTGTCGCCCACAGACAGGGGCTGCAGCAGAACCTGGCACTGCTGGAGCAG